CTGATGGGAACTCCTTTGTAGGTGACTGTCCCCTTATCTCTTGCTGCTTCTAGGATTCTCTCCTTCGTTTTTACCTTGGCTAATGTAATTATGATGTCCCTTGGTGTGTTTCTTCTTGGGTCCAACCTCTTTGGGGCTCTCTGAGCTTCTTGGATTTCTTGGAAGACTATTTCCTTTGCCAGAATGGGGAAGTTCTCCTTTATTATTTGTTCAAATACATACTCAATGTGTTGCTTTTCCCCTCCCCCTTCTGGTAACCCTATAATTTGGATGTTGGAACATTTAAAGATGTCCTGGATGCTCTTAAGCTTCTCCTCGTTTTTTTTTTTTTTGAATTCTTATTTCATCATGCTTTCCTGTTTGGTTGATTCTATCTTCCTTCTGGTCCACTGTATTGTTTTGAGACCCAGTTTCCTTCCCTTCACTGTTGGCTCTCCTCCGTGTATCTTCCTGCATCTCTTTTATGGTAACCTGCACCTTTTCATCTAATTTGCGCCCCAAATCAACCAGTTCCATGAGCTTTCTGATCACCAGTGTTTTGAACTGTGCATCTGATAGATTGGTTATTTCTTAGTCGCTCAAAAAGATGAGTACTAGGGGACTGATCTGTTCTGTTGGAAACATGTCTCTCCCTGTCTCTCCTTTTTTTTTCTTTTTTTTTTTTCCTGGTCTGGTCGCTCTTGTTACGGTGAGGGGCGGAGCCTTAGGTGTTCACCAGGGCTGGGCACCCCAGTTGCTAGATTGTGATGTTCTATGTGGGGGCGGGGGGGTGGGAACAATGGTGGTAGTTCCGTTCTCCTGGGATCTCAGTCCCTTCTCTGGGATCCTGGGCTGCGAGCTCTGCCCTGGTCCACAATCGCCGCCTCACTGGGTCCGCCAGCCGCAGCTTGCATACTCAGGGTCCACCGCTGCGTTCTTGCCCCCGGATGGCTTTCGTGCTGATTTCGCGCCAAGTTTTCCCCGACCTCTGTGCACCGCCGACCCGCGCCTGCCCGGCTCGTCCTCTCCTACCAGTCTGGATGTACGGGTCTACTTCAACTTCTTGGCTGTCCGACTTCCATTCAGATAAATCCTCTATCAGTTCTGGGTGTTATTCTATCTGTAAATTATTGTTGTTCTAATCTTGGTTGTGCGAGGAGGTACGGTGCGTCCACCTATTCCTCCATCTTGCCGGAAGTCCCCCAGGAGTGCATCTTCTATCCTGGAGTTCTGGTCACAGTGTGGGGCCCACAGTATGTTCTCAGTCAAAACTTCCTGAATGGACAACTCACTCTGGGTGGCCTTGATCCTGTGAGGGATAGCAGACGAGCCATTCACACCCTTTTCACACAAGAGAGCCCCAGGTCTGTGGGACAGAGCAAGGCACATCACTCTCCTGGGCTCTGGCCTATGGCCTAGGCCTCGGCTGCCCCATGCTCTGGCCCCTGAGCAAACTGGACATAGGCCAGGAAGAACAATGTCACGAATGGCAATGGAGAGCCACCTCCTCCTCATAAGAGGAGACATGTCCTGGGCTTGAGCTATTTCTTGTGGGCACACAAGCCATCTCTGTCTTTCAGGTTTTTGAGATTTTGGGAAAGAAAGGGGCAGGTGTTCGATAGACCCCAAAAACAGAGCTCCTAGGTGGCAAATTTCACTTCAGTGTCATGAGAGCATGAAAGCAAGCTATCAGATGAGAGTGCTGAGTTCCTTTCTATGCTTAAAAACCCCTGCAGGTTAAAGCCTAAGCCCCTTAATGTGGCAAAGGGTTCAGGACTTGATTCCTATTCCCTACTTTGGTTATAGTATCCACCAAACTGAACCAGTTATTATGCTGTTCCCTGTGTCTTGAATGCTATTCCCTATCTGGTACCACAACCCCCCTTTCACCTCTCTGTGGGTATTTCAAGACTTAATTCAGGCACCACTTACTCGAAGAAGCCTTTCCTGAAGCCCCTGGCTGGGTTAGGGATCCCCTGCAGACACCATGGGCATGAGCTCCTTGAGGACAGGGACTGGGACTTCATTTAGCTCAGATCCTGGCAGAGCATTATTGTCAGGAGTGCTAACACAGCAAATGGAAAGTTCTAATATTTCCAAGTTTTAATAGTCAACAGTTCCCCAATTCTTGGTGAAGACTGAGACTTGGGCTCCCTCCATCTGGGGCCCACTCCCGAGCTCTCTGCCTCCACCCCATCCCCTCTGAGTGTTCGTTCTCAGGCAGGCACACACACATGTTCTGAACATAACCGGGAAAGCAATTTACAAGAAATAATTGCCGGTCGATGTGTGCTTGGGAGCAGCAGTGAGCTCAGACTATTTCTGTCTGTGCGTCAGCCCACCCAGCTTCCTTCCTCCCGGGCTGCCCTGGGAGTGGGGGTGGGGCCAGGGGCGGGGAGGGGGTTCCTGCTGCACAGGGTGGACAATTTGTTTCCAAACCAAGACTCAGACGAGCCAACCCCAGAGAGAGCCAGCTCTGAGGGTTGACTGAATTCCAGCGAGAGAAGCTGAATCTGGGGATGGATGTGGGGGGAGCTCTATGGGCCAGGGATGAGTAGGTCGGCAAAGACAGCATGCACAATCTATTTTCCACCTATCCTCACCCCATCCTTCTGCTGGGGAAATTCTACCATATCTTCTGGGCCCTGCTCAGTGTGAGGTCTCCTCCTAACCCCCAGCTCTGAGTCCCCTTTGTTCTTTCTGGCTGGTCTGACTCTAAGGGTGGTTGCAGAGCAGCAGCAGCAGCAGCAGCAGCATCACCTGGAACTACTTAGAAATGCAAATTCTGGGGACTTACTCCAGACCTACTGAATCAGACACTCTGAGAGGGAAAGGAGTGGGTCCAGCTCTCCCAGTTTTAACAAGCCCTCCAGCGGATTCTGATGCAGGCTCAAGTCTGGGAACCATTGCCTCAGGCCACCGACAACCACTAGAGTTTTTAGAATTTACCTTCCCCCATCAGACCTAAAGGCAAGGGCAGCATTGAATCCTTCCTTGTAACCTCTCACAAGGCCCAACACAGAAATTGCTCAGAGAAAAATTGGATTTTCCTGACGGGGATGCTGAGGAGAGAGACAGGATCTGGTCTGTCCTGTGAAAGGTCACACAGAAGAGCAGAGACTAAATTTCCAGGCAACATGCTGTTCCTGGGCTGTGCTGGGCTCTCTCGCCGTTTCTGAACAGGTTGTACTCTGCCCATGTCTTCTGACCTTGTCTCATGTGGAACCTTTGACTCATTTGATGATTCAGCTCAAATATCCCTTAGTGCTTCCTCAAGCTGCTCAAAGGGCTGCCATTGGGCCAACTGGCCGTGGTGTGCCTACCTTGCCCTCCATGAGCACCCCGGAGGCCGGCAGCTGTGGCTGATTGCCTACTGTCTTTGGTAACCTGCACAGGTCCTGGCACAGAGGATGCCACCGGACATACAAGAAGTAGACCAAGGTGCTGGTGTAGAGTGCCGAAAATAAGACATGCACACACACTCACAGGCCCACAGACAACAAATAAAGCAAGACCAGAACCAAGGGCTCTTGGCTTTCAGCCTAGGGCACTTCTGTGTGTGACTCACCCCGTCATGTGCCCTTGCCTGGCTCAGTTCCCATGAAATATCTAAGAGTGACCAGTTCAGTGTTGTCAAATCTGGCAGCAGGTTATGTCACTGTCAGAAATGTGAAGAGCTGCTTTCAGAGGCTACTGAGTCTCCCCGATCCTTGCCTTGCACTCCTAAGGCAAAGCCTAGAGCCACTGCCAAAGATGATAACAGCGGGGGGGCGCGTAGGAAGGGGGTGGGGTTGCGGAGAGGGAGCTCCTTTGTACTTGCTACATGGAATGCTGCTCTTTTTATGAATCACTTAATAAAGCCAGTTAGATTTTCAAAATAAAATTAAATGGGAACAGCTGGGAGAGGGGTGGCAGTCAGCATCATGCTCTAAGATTTCTTTGCTATCAGTTTAATTTAAAAAAGAAAAGCCAACACATAAAGCTTTCCATTTGCCAACTCTGTTCTGAGCACTTTGCATGGACTAAGTAACTTCATCCTCCAAAACCCTTTAAGGTAGGAACAAACTATTACACTCACTTACGTGGATGAGAGAACCAAGGCACAGATGTTACCTAGCAAGTAAGGGCAAGGACAAGATTTGAACCAATCATTTGGCTCCAGAGTACCTGCTCTTACTGCTATATTGAAAAACACCCATTTGTAATTTTTAAGTATTTGTAGTACTTTTATGTTTATGAAGGGGGTTCACATCCATCATCTTTGAACACTCACCATAACCCAGCAAAGGAACTGAGGCTCAGGGAGACTAAGGACTTTATCAAGGCTACAGCAGGGTCAGGAAGTGGCTGCGTCCGGTCTGCGTGCTGTGGAGCCTGTGTTTGACCTGCTAACCATTCATTTCTTCACTCGTTGATTAACTCTTTCATTCACCTAAGGAACTGAATGATATTAAATGTGGTTGCGCTGTGTACTCTACATCCCCTCTCATTCTGTTCCCTGGCAGGTAGCTCATCCTAGGAGTGCAGCAGAGATGCATCTGCCTCTTCTGTGGTGTCCTAAGTACACCTGCTCTGTATCAGGAAGAACAAGTCAGGGTTCCCTGACTCTCCAGGTTAGGTTAGTGGCTCCTCAGAGCCTCCACTAACCCTGGGCTTCTCCTTGATTTCATGGAGTTATTACTCATCATTTTACTTGGGATCCATGTCTGAACTCCCTTTGGCTCACGGTGGGCTAGGCAGAGCAGAATAGCTGGGTCCACAGCAGGCTCTGGGTGGATTTGCTGGGAAAAGCCCTCATTTACCCCACTAGGCACTAAAGTACCTTTGATCATCCTCACCCCCACATTTCCACTGAATAGAGACTCCGGAAGAGGATGGTGTAGAGACATTTATTGTATGTCTATGGGGCTGGTCCATGTGAGATTAGACTGGGGACAGGGGCCTCCTCAGGGATGCCTGGAATGTCACTGGTGGTCACTGTGGCCATGAAGCAGTGCTGGAGAAGGTGTCTGGGGTCCACAGCCTGCTCCTCCTTCCAGTCCAGCTGTGGTTTTGGGAAGGGGTAACTTTGCCGTAGACGGTTCACTCCTGGCACCTCCACCGACTTGCCTGAATTCCCGTCTTGGTGGTCAGGGGGCACCTCCTCAGGATCTGGAAAACAGCAAGCTGAGGGCATGGGGTCTCCTCCTGCATCCCATTCCTCCCACTGGGAGGAATTCCTTCACACATCCTAGCTGACTCCTCTGAGTGCTTACCTTGGGTGGGCAGGACTGTGCTCAGAGTCTTAAATGCATCATTCATTTAACAAATATTCATTAGTGATATAACACACCAAGCACTAGGAGCTGTCAATGTTTCTAATAAACTTAAGTTTAATGGGGGAGACTGACAATAACAATTGTTAAGAGATATGAAGGCCCTGGCTGGTGTAGATCAGTGGATAGAGTGCAGGCTATGAATGAAAGGGTTGCTGGTTCGATTCCCAGTCAGGGCACATGCTTAGGTTGCAGGCCAGGTCCCCAGTGGGGGCCACATGAGAGGCAACCACACACTGATGTTTCTTTCTCCCTCCTTCTCCTCTCTCTAAAAATAAATAAATAAAATCTTTAAAGAAAGAGATATGAAGACGACCTTCACCATAAATCCATGAGGTAGGAACTATTAAAAAACAAATTTTATAGATGGTACAGGCTACTACACAACCAGTATACAGAGAAGTGCTGGAAATTTTAAAAACATATATTATTTTAAGAATAGATTTCATGACTTTCTCCACTGCTTTATCCTCTCCTCTTATATCTGAATTTCAAAGGAGGCTCATTTGGCTTTATTATTTATTCTCCACTTCCCATTCCTGACTTACTCTGATGCAATTTTCTTGGTTTCTGCTCCCACCATAGTTTAAAATATTTTGTCACTAAATCCCACGGTCACTTATAAATCCTTATCTCCTTGACTCATCAGCACTTGACACTTGACACAATTAGGCATTCCTGCCTAAAAAAACATATCAAGTGTCCAAGCCGGAAATGTGAGTCATCTCTCATCATCCTTCACACTCTTCTCTAACTCCTTCACAAAGTCAAGCAGTTTACCAGGTCCTGCTGATTCTGCCAAATCACTATCTGTTATGTTCATCTGTTTCTCTCCATCCTCAAGGCCACCACCCTTGGTAAGGCTTTCATCTTCTTCTGCCCTGAGTACTGGAACAGCCTCCAGTCTACCCTCCAGGCCGTAGCCAGAGAGATCTGTCTAAGGTCAAGTGAGTCCATGTACTATTCTTTCCCAAAAGCCTTTGATGTCTTCCCATTGCCTGGGACACTTGAGATGGCATTCAAGGCCTTTTGCTCCTGGTGCCATCAGCTTCATTACTCAGCTTCATTACTAACCACTCTTCCCTCATGAACTCTATACTTTGCCACACCAAAATTTTCATTGTTCTCTAAATAGGTCCATCCCTTCACATCTCTGGGCCTTGGCTTGTGCTGTTTCTTCTAGAATGACACTTTATACTTTCTGTGTCTAGAATACTCATGCTTTAAGACCCATTGATGGATGATATCTAGGAAAAATGGTGCCCCTGAAACCAAGGGAAGAGTAAATTTCAAGAAAGAAGTTTTACTGGATATTGGAGTTGCTTACCCAACATCCATTCTTCCCCCTTCTCCACCTAGTAATAGTAATTATATTTGGGTAGGATTGCCCCACCCCATCTACAGGAGTGGGTCCTGATTGATCTGAGCCAACCAAGTGATCCCATTCCTTTGCCATATGGATGGGCAATCAGTGCATAACATTTCCCTGGGTACAGTGATTAGTTTAGGGGTGAGCATGTGACCTAAGGTGGTCAAATCAGAGTACAGCAGGCCTTTATTATTTTCCCTCTAGTTGAAGGAAGAGATAGCTCCCTTTCTCCTCCTGGCATGCAGAAGGGAACAAAAAGCATAAAGTCCCAGGGACTGCTGGTAGCCTACTTTGTTCAGTGAGCAAAGTCAGTCTGAGAAGAAAGCCAACACAGAGAGAGGGCAGAGTTGAGAGACTCCCAGAGGATGTGGTCATAAGCCTGAGGATACTTGAACTTCTATTCAAACTGTGCCTGAAGCCCACCCCTACTTTTGGACTTCTCACCTATAGAGTCCATGATTTCCTTTTTTGTTTGTTTTGTTTTTAACTTTTTATTTTTAAACAATTTAAGACTCACCAGAAGTTATAAAAATAATACAGAGTTCCAGTATATCCTTCACCTAGCTTTCCCCATTGATAACATATTATATAACCATAAAACAATTTCAAAACCAGGAGACTGACATTGATACTAAGCTACTATTGAGCCTATGCAATTTTCACCAGTTTTTATATGTACTTTTTTGGTGTTTAGGAAATTAATAAATATAGTAAGTGTGTGTTTAACTTTATGAAAACACCAAACTATCTTCCAAAGTGGCTCTACCATTTTACAGTCCCACCAGCAATACAGGGTAGGGCAAAAGTAGGTTTACAGTTATTCATATGGAAAATAATATAATAATTAATAAATAATAATACAAGAATAAACTCCATTTCATGTACTCACAACTGTAAACCTACTTTTGTTGCACCTTGTGTGTAAGAAATCCAGTTGCTCCGTTCCTCATTTGGTATTGTCAGTGTTTTTACTTCAGTATTCTGATGGGCGTGAAGTGGTATCTCACTGTAGCTTTGATATTCATTTTTTTTAATGTTTAATGAAGCCGAAACATTTTTTCATGTGCTTACTTGTTATCTGTGAAGTATCTGTTTAAGTCTTTTACTCATTTCCTAATGGGATTGTTTTTTTGTTAATGTTAAGTTTTGAGAATTCTTTATATATTCTGGGTAACAATACGGTGTCAGAATATTATTCCCCAGTAAGGGCACTGTCTTTTCATTATCTTAATTAATATCTTAATTACCTTAATTTTTGTCTTTTCACAAACATTTTGGATTTTAATTAAGACCAATGACCAATTTTTTAAAAAGTGAGTTGTCTTTCATTGCCTGGCTTATTTCACCTAGCATAATAGTCCCCAGTTCCATCCATGCTGTTGCAAAAGAATTCATTCTTTTTTACCGCCACATAGTATTCCACTGTGTAAATGTACCACAGCTTTTGTATCCATTCCTCTACTGATGGGCATTTAGACTCTTTCCAAATCTTGGCTATTGTAAGTAATGCTGCAATGAACATAGGGGTGCATATATTCTTTCGAATTGGTGTTTTGGGATTCTTTGTATATAGTCCCAGCAGTGGAATCACGGGATTAAAAGGCAGTTCCATTTTTAATTTTGTGAGGAAACTCCACACTGTTTCCCACATTGGCTGCACCAGTCTGCATTCCCACCAACAATAAACTAGGGTTCCCTTTCTTATCCTCAATAGTACTTGTTTGTTGATTTATTCATGATAGCCATTTTGGCAGGTGTGAGGTACTATCTCATTGCGGTTTTAATTTGCATTTCTCTGATAGCCAGTAATGCTGAGCATTGTTTGGTATGTCTATGTGCCATCTGTATATCCTCCTTGGAGAACTGTCTACTCAGGTCCTTTGCTCATTTTTTAACTGGATTGTTTGTCTTCCTGGTGTTGAATGATATGAGTTTTTAATGTATTTTGGAGATTAAACCCTTGTCCAATGTATCATTGGCAAATATGTTCTCCCATACAGTGGGTTCTCTTTTCATTTTGCAATGAAAGACACATACTATATGATCTCACTTATAACTGCAATCTAAGCAACAAAATAAACTAATGGGCAAAATAGAATCGGAGGCACAGATACAAAGAACAGACTGACAGAGAGCTGTACGGGGAGAGTGGAGGGTGGGACTGCTTGAAGGAAGGTGAAGGGTTTAGACAAAGAACATACCTGCATCCCCCATGGATATGAACATCGGCGTGGGGATTGACTGTGGGAAAGGGAGTCTGGGGGTTAAGAGAAAAAGGGAGAAAAATTGGGACAACTGTAATAGCATGAACAGTAAATAAATACAAAAATAAAAAATAAACAAAAACAAGAAAAATGAGTTGTACCTTTTGTGCCTTGTATAAGAAGTCTTTGCCGGGGGCTGGATTGGGAGTAAAAGGGAGAAAACTGTATTTGAACAATGATTAAAATAAAATTAAAAAAAAAAGATGGGGGGAGAAGTCTGCCAAACCCCAGGTAGTGAATATTTTCTCCTGTTTTCTTTTAAAAGTTTCATAGTAAAAGTTTAATAGATTATATGATTATATATAGATCTATGATTTATTTTGAGTTAATTTTTATATAAGGTGTGAGGTTTAGGTAAAGATTTTGTTTTTGTTTTTTTTTACCTATGGAAGTCTAGTTCTTCCAACATCATTTATTGAAAAAACTATTCTTCCTCCATTGAACTGCTTTTGTATCTTTGTCAAAAACCTTTTTGACATACTTATCATGTGGGGTCCATTTCTGGACTCTGTCTTGAACTATGTGCCTTGTCCTTCCTCTAATACCACACTGTCCTAATTACTGTCGATTATTGCTGCTAAATAGTAAGTCTTAAAATCTTACTAAGTAGTGTGATTTCCTCCAACTTTATTATTCTTTTTCAATGTTATTTTAGCTATTCTAGTTCCTTTGTCTTTCCATGTAAATCTTAGGGTCAATTTGTCTATGTATACAAATAAACTGCTGCAATATTTATCTTTACTATGTTGAGTCTTCCAATTCATGAACATGGTATATCTCTCCATTTATTTGTCTCTTTGATTTCCTTCATCAGCATTTTGTGATATTTGTTATACAGATCCTGTTTTATTAGTTTTACACCTAAGCATTTTGGGGGAGTGACTATAAATGGTATTATTGTATTTTTAATTATGGTCCCTAATTGTTTGTTGTTAATTCATCTTGTATAATTATACAAGATATTTATAATTATACAGTTATAAATATAATTGATGTTTGGTTCTCACCTTACATACAATGATCTTGCTAAATGCACTTATTAGTTCTAGGACGTTGTTTCGTGTGTGTGTGTTTTGTAGATTCCTTAGGATCCTTTGTCATTTAAGCTTGCATTCTAAGGTATTCCATTTGTTATAGGGGTTTAGCAAGTTTCTATTCAATGCAAGAATCCCTTTAACTATTAATAAATACCCATTATTAATTATTAACTATTATTCTCTATTACTAAATTACTAGTTAATAAATCAGGGCAAGGCTAAATGTTATTAATTATTAGGACAACTATAATTAATGTTATTAATTAACATTTAGCTTTGCTCTGATTACTTTCCAGTTTGGGGGGTGCTTTTTTTTTTCTCTAAAACTAAGAGTTACAAATTGATGAACCAAATAGCCCAAAATAGTGAGGGTGTTCTTTACAAGAGTATTTCAGGTCTCTTAGAAAGGTCTGTCTTTACTGAATCAGCATCTGCTTCCCTATGGCTCCCTACACTGATCCCAGTTCCGTTCTCTGGCTTCTCACCAAATGTCTCCTCCTTGTGCCCAGGGACAGCCTTGCAGAGATTTGAGGTCCTAGACTGTGAGCCCCGAGCCTTCTTTGTTCAAGGCCCAAAGTCCCCAGCTCCTCAGCTGTTACTGACAGGACTTGGCTCCTAGACTGAGCTGCCTCTGATCACCTTTTGATTGCTCAAAGTCCCTCTTAAATTGGGGGGCTCTGAGCAGCACAGCAGTTACAATAGGATTCATGTTTGGCTGAAATGCACTGGTACAACAATCTTTTTGATTCTCCTAACACTCTGAGATGGGTATTATCACTCCATGTTATAGAAAAATAAATGAGGCCCAGGTAGAGAAGGTCAATTATGAAACAACCATTAAGTAGTGGATCCAGGATTCACTTCCCATTCTGCTTGATTCCAAAGCCTGGATCCTTACCACAGAGCAAACATACCCTTAGTATAGATTAGGAACTAGGCTAGGTTCTGGGGATACAAAGGCATTTAAAATATAGTTCGTATCTCTGAGATCAGCAGACTCTTTGAGGAGACTAATGTAAAATCTAAGTACCTAATAATAATAAAAAAATGAGAGCTGCTTATTGTTAAAAGCCTACCATGTGTCTGAGATCAATTTAGCTCCTGTGTAAGCATCACCTTTAGTATTCATAACTTTCTTAGTGGGTATTACTGTATACATTTTACAGAGTAAACTGAAGCCAAGAGAGAAGTGACTTGCCTAAGGCCACACAATGAGAACCACAAAGCCAGGACTAGAGTCAGGCTCTCTGATGTCCCAGACCAGGGTGGTGCCTTCCCACCATTCTCCAAGGACCTCTGTGGCCAGTCCTTACATGGCCTGGGGCCCTCAACCTTGTACTTGGGACTATCCTATGATGACCAGCTAAGAGAGGAGTTCTTAGATTCTCTCCCTCCTTGCAGATGAGTTAAGACTGACTGCCCTGCAAGTGATTGTGACTGTGGCCAAGAGAAGGAGAACTTAAATTCCTTAAATCCCAGCAGAGAACGGTTCCTTCCCCTCCCCCCTCGGTTCTGTCCACAGGTGCTCCAAGGGTCTAGGTTCACAGACATCTCAAGGCATAAAAAAGAGAAGGAAACTATCCCGAACTGTCACAGGAAACAATTACATCATGCAAAAAAACTCTGCAAAGAAAATGAAGGGAAGCCAAGTGCAGCGTGCCAAAGAGAGAGGAAGAACCCCCCAAGATGGAAAATTTGAATGGCAGCAAACCGAAGGGAATTTTAGGCAAAGGCTGCTTAAGTCCCTTGAGGAATTTAAAGAGGACATAGATTACATGCCTTTTAATAATGAAGAAATGACAAGAGAGGGAGATGAGATGGAACAGTCTTTGGAAGAGATAAGGGGTCTGAGAAAGAAGTTTAGGGCTCCGCATTTTAACAATAGGCATTCCAGGGACTGTCCTTATCCCGTTCAATGCCTTTCTCCCCCGAATTTAATTGTTTTCTGCTATTAATATCACCACCACTAGGTTTTTTGTCTGCATTTTCTTGCTAAATATTTGCTACTACACTGAATCCTTCATAGTTCCTTTGATTTACAGATTACTCTTGCTACCCACATCTCATCTTTTGACCCAATCTCATTCATTTAATAGGATGTTTCATTCATTTGCATGAGAAGATGCTCATTGTATATTGTAAAGTGAAAACAACACATTGAAAAACATTATATATAATGTACATTTACATGTGTTATAATACAAAAAGAGAATTATTATGCACCAAAAGGTTAATAGTGATTCTCTGTGATCTGTACTTTTTCATTTTTTGCCTATCTTCATCTTCTCATTTTCCAAAAATGAACATATATGTGTGTATAACTTGTGCCTCAAAAAAAAAACCCAACCCACCCAAACCCCTAAAATAGATACTATAAAAGAACATGTCAATAAAAAAAAAAGACTGACTCATCACTGAGGTTTGTTTGGGTCAGAGGTACCAAATGCGGTTAATTAAAAGGCAGTGGGCTCTGGTGCAAATGAACCCTCACTGGAAGGTGAGATGGGCTGCTGCGGGGACATATCCTTGGACTACAAGGCAAAGGCTTCGGCAATTGGCTGGGTGACCTTGGGCATGTGACTGTCTCTTTCAGGGCCTCAGCTCCTCATCTATGCAGTGAAAGCATCAGACTTGGTTTCTAGAAGCCTTTGAGTCAGTGGAAATGACTGACTAATAAGCTCCTCACCAACACCTTTAAGACAAAGATGAGAACTGTGAAGTCTTGTCTTCCATTTTTATCCCTGTTGTTTTCTTGGTCTTTTATCAAATGCACCAAGGCCGGAACATAAACTCCATACTTTCCTCAATCACCCCATCTGCAAAATAGGATTGATTATAACCATTTGGCAGAGTAGTTAGGCAGGTAAGTGGGATAATATGTTTGAAGTCCTTAGCATAGCATCTAGCACAGCGGTAGGACCTCAGTGACTCTTCTGGTCAAGCTAGTTACAAAGTACCAGAGTAAGAAAGTTCTGGCTTTTTTGCATCCCACGTTTGGAGGATGGTGTGGAGGTGGGGGAGATGGGCCAGTACAAAATACCGGAGTAGCAGTTGAAGCCTGTTTTCAGAAACTCTATTCCACTCCCACTCTGCTCTTGCCAAGGCACTCCCCATACCGTCCTTGTCCTCACACTCAGAGACCAGGCCCCTGAGGTACGGTGCAGTGATCATAGAGGCTGGGAGATCAGGACTGACATCCCAGCAGCACATGCTCACTACTGTGTAGACTCAGCCAATTCATTTCCCTTGGTGTCCTCTGATGTAAAATAGGGCTAATGGTCTCTCTACATGTCCTGCTGGAGAGGGAGACAGCAGACAAATGGAAGTCTGTGGAAAGGGTAAAGCTCTGATGAATGTAAGATAGTGAGCTTAAACTGTCTTAAATGCAGAAAGAGGGACAAGAGCCTCCTGGGAAGGAGGGGACAGCACTTAATGAAGAAGAAAGAGAGGAACTAAGGGCTGAGACTGTGCAAAAGACAGAGCTAAAAGCTATCATTTAGTAAAAGGTCAGTTAATACATTTTCTATCTTAAAAATGAGAAGCAAAAAGCAAGAACATAGGCTATCTCAGACACTGGCAATTGAATCATCCAGCTGGTGGCTAAGCAGTAAAAAGGAGAGTGGTTTTCAAATGGGCCAAGGGATGAACTATATTCCCTTTGACAGGCAGGCTCAGGGTGAGGGAGGAAAAAGCGTGGGGAGAGATGAGAGGACCAGGACACAAGCAGGGGCACCCCATGGACCTGGCCTGGTGAGATAGAAAGAGTAGGACTTGGAAGGCAGGAAAGCACATGTATTTGAATTCCAGATCCACGATTTACAAACTCTGACCCTTTGGGTAAGTCAACTCACCTCTCTGAGACCTGGTTTTCACATCTGTAAAATGAATGATAATAATACGTATCTCACTCAGATAGTTAGGAAAATTAGATGAGATAATGCATGTACAGTTTATGAGTGTCTGCAATATAGTTGGGACTTCTGTTTCACAGAAATAAGGAGAACAAGGAGAGTGGAGGTAGAGTTGGCTCTGTCACTCACTCACTAGGTAACCTGGGCTTCAATTTCTTCATCTGTAAAATGGAGAGTAATAAGATCTATACTCTGCCCAGTTACTGTGAAGAACAAATAAGATGATCTATTTAGAGCTAGTTCAGTCCTTCTAACTGTGGTATCATATCTCATTATTCCTCAACTGGTAGATAGACACTTTCTTTGTTTCCAATATGACAAAATATCATGTTATCTATCTTTATAAATCCTCTTCTAGTGAAACTATTTCTTCTAAGATAATTAGAAGTGGAATTACTGAATTATAGGGTATATTCACTTTTTAAAAGATTTTATTTATTTTTAGACAGAGGGGAATGGAGAAAAAAAGAGAAGGAGAGAAACATCAATGTGTGGTTGCTTCTCAAGTGCCCCCTACTGGGGACCTGTCCCATAACCCAGGCATGTGCCCTGACTGGGAATTGAACCAGCGACCCCCTGGTTCACAGGCCAGTGCTCAATCCACTGAGCCATATCAGCCAGGGCTATATTCATTTTAACATAAATAGATACTGACAACTTACTCTACCAAGTGGTGGTACCATTTTATACTCCTATTAGCCATATATGACAGTATCCATTCCCCCTACCCAAACTTCTCAATATTAACATGATCCATTCTTTTACTTTGGCCAATGTAGTTAATAAAAGTTAGGTTCCTGTGAGCCCCTGGTCAAAACTTTTTGTCAACCAATCAATACATATCTTTGTTTTGGGTATTTCTGTTTAAAGACACCTTACTCAATACATACTGTTAATTGATTAACATTTAACCGATGGCCAAGAGCACTATAACTCCTGCCTGAACAAAGTTTACCCAATACATGGATTTTCTCCACAAAGCACATGACAGTCTTATCCGTGCTTAGGAACATGAGACAGCACTTCAGCACTACATTTGGGGGGCGTTTTCAACAGTGAAACAACCATCAAAAGTCATAAAAATGCAAAAACACAGCACTCAATATACCATGAAAAGGACACTTGTTTACAGTGTGAGACCTGGAACAAGAAGGCAGAACACGGCCTTGTTCAACCTCAGCTAGGAAAGTGTGTGATGGTGCAACTCAATTTTTTTGCTGCTCTGCGCATGTCCGCTTTCACAAATGACCTTGAAAACACTGCAAGTATTGATTTTGAGGTTACAAATAAGTTTTAGCAAATAGGAAAATTCACAAATATTGATTCTGCAAATAATGATTGCCTGTATGTGTGTAGTTCCATTTATAATATCTTTGTAGTCTATCACGTGTTTCTTATCTTTATGTATAATGTCCTTTGTATTATTTGTATCTGATGTCTGTTTGCATTTTATGCAGGCAGTTTTGTCAATTTTTCTGTATTTTAATTAGTCTGTTTCTGGACTTTCTATTCTAGGGTTTCTCAACATCAGCACTATTGACATTTTGGGTTGGATAATTCTTTTTCGTGGAGCCCTGTCCTGTGTTGTAAGCTGTTCAATGGCATTTCTGGCCTCTACTCAAAGACACCAGTAATACCCCTCACCCAATTGTGACAACCAAAAATGTTTCCACACATTGCCAAAAGACCTTGAGGAGCAAATTTGCAACGAGTTGAGGATATTGCATTGCCCAATTCTGTCTGTCAGTTTCTGTGCCAATATCAAATTGACAAATTTTTATCTTTAAAAAATGTCTTATTATCTGATAGGGCAAGTCCCTTCTTTCTCTTCCAAAATTGTTTTGTTCACTCTTACACCTTTATTCTTCTAGATTAATTTTAGAATTTTGATAAATTCCATGAAACCTTTTGTTGGGATTTTAAATTATAGACTAACTTGGAAAGAACTAAGTTGCCTATGACAATGAGCTTTCCCATATCTCACCGGATAGTCAGGTTCTTCTACACCTTTAATTAACTTTTATGCTTTTTCTATACAAGTTGAAGCCTGGGCTACCTCTGGTCTCCCAAAGGCTGGGTCTATGCTCCAGATTTCTTTCTATTCTGCCATTGCCTCCCAGGTCTTCCCGACTCCAAGGGAAGCTGGCCAAACCGTCCCATCCTCAAAGGCCATCCCTCCTGCTTTTCCCAGTGGGATTATTCATAATCATCAGGATCTGAGAAGGGTTCATGTGCTGTTGTTTGTTGCACAAATTTGTTGTTAAATTGGAAAAATAATCTTGTACGAAGGAAAAGCTCTCTCTGTCTTTCTCTGAAACTTAGCTTTTATACACCCTGTCCCTTGTCCCTCCCTGATGTTTGCCATTCTTACTTCTGAGATTAAATTTCTCCCCTATCCAGCCTGGCCTCACTCCTTATGGTGCTTCAGAGTGAATGACCCTGTCACTGCACAGGTCTCCCTCAGTACTGCCCACACACCTTTACCTATTATTTATCCTCTTCTAGAATGCCCTTTCCCCTCTCTTGCCTAAGCAACTCTTTCACTACTCAACACTAATTCAAGTCTCCTTTCCTTTTTGAAACCCTCTTTAACATTTGGTATCAAACAATTTTGTGCTTAATTATATGCTGCACAGACCCAGTGTGGTGGGCTGAAGAAAGAACATGACTCAGGCAGGAAGGCATGGGCTAGATTTCAGCCTCACCACTTGCTAGCTGTGATACTTTGAGTAAGTCACCTAATCTCTCTTGGCCTCGGTTTTCTCACTTGTAAAATGGAGATAATAACAACCATTTTAAGCATTGTCTACCAAACTATACTGAAAGATCTTTTGCCAACAGCTACTGGTCCCTTTCACAGTACCTTGCAGAGGTGGTAAAAACATGTGATAGAAAGACTTGTGAAAAAGCAACACTCTCCTGGGGGGCCCTGCAGGGAAGCTCTAGGTAGCTTGTGCTAATAAAGAAGTGGGTAGACCAGCACATCAGATTGTCAAAAAGTACCTGTATTTAGTTTCTGAGGAAATTGAGTTTGGGGAACAGTGAATTTTTCTTATTGTCTTTTGTTTGGGGTAGTATTCAAATCAGTTTGTATTTTGTAAGTCTAGAATTAAACCATTGTTTCAGAAGATCCACAAGATGAATTCATATTTGCATAACCAATAGAATGCTGACTATATCAAATTATTTTGATAAACACAGAGCACATGGAAAGTTTAGATGGGCAATGTTCACATCATAAGCTGCTGCTTCTGAATATTCTAGGAACACTCATGAGGCAAATGTTCCAAACATCATTTCTAAATGTGTCCCCTTTGTAAAACTGCTTGCCTGCTGAATATAAGGAAATCATGTGGCCTCTTTCTTACCTGTAGTCTGTAAGCCTAAACCTAGGTCCAACTTTGAGTGAGGCTTTGAGCTGAAGAACAGGTAACAAAGCACACAGGCAGTGACAATGAAGGCCAGGAGGACCGCCGCTGCTATGGACAGGCCCACAAGAGCACCAACACTGGGGAGAGAAGACCATAGAGGAACTGAGAGTCAGGATGGGGCTTGGGAGGTAGCATGTTATAGGAGAAGTGTCCCACCTCCTAGTGTGTGTTCCCTTTCTTCTCCTCTCCTTCCCTTCCAACTTTCTTTAACCTACTCCCAGGCCAGGGAGCTGGGGATGACCTTAAAGAGATGTCCCCACACTGCTGTTTCCTAAAAAAAATCAAGACACATGGTAGGCCTTAGTTAAAAACCAGTTGTCCTTCCAGCCTCAAGGAAATTTCTGACCCACCCTCCAGTAGGTCACATGAGTGGCCACATCTAAAACCCTCCCCACACTGATCCCTCACTCACTGTGTCTGCCCTGAGTCAGGCCTTAGTCACTTAGTCTTTAGACCACTACCTCCTAGTTCATTTGGGGACCACTGTCTTTCCTTTTTCACATGATCCCTCCCCATTATCTCCCTATGTTGGAATTTATCCCTCCCTATGTCTTCCATGGCCCGTCTCAAATGTCTCCTCAATAATGCTTTCCTTGGTGATCTTTCTCTCTCTTACCCCCATTCCCTGCATGCCAGGTTAATCTACCTAGGACACTTTACTGAGGACCTTTAGCACTTCCCACTGGGTCAGAAAGCCCAATGTGGTAGGAAAAGAGCAAAGAGCTTTAGAACCAGACCTACCTGGGTTACACCCAGCTCTATAACTAACTATGAAGTCCTTATGAAGTTATTTAACTTTTTGAGCCTAAATTTCTTTGTCTGAAAAGTTAGAATAATGAAAACACAACATCCCATGGGTGGTTGTGAGGATGAATGATATATGGCATATTCTCGGCACATAGTAATTGTTCTACATATTTCTCACGTGTTCCTTGAAGATAGACTTAGACCATATTTAGTCAGCTTTGTCCTCTCCTTGTACAAGCCCTGACACACAGTAAGCAGTTAGTAAACATCATTGAATACCTACTATGTGTCAGGTGCTGTGAGATACTCTTCTAATGCTAGGACATCGGTAGGCACCAGGCTTTGTTTTTGTGCCCTTCTTGCCTACAACTCTGAAAAGGGTTGCCAGACCCAACATTAACAATGTGTTTGGAGACTTCTCCACACCCACAAGTGTTTCTCTGACCCTGGCAGTGTATCTGAGAATTCAACTCAATTCTGATATGATCTACCCAAGATAGAATCAGATTCTACAGGTTAAGGGTTCAGCTGTACAAGACTGCCCCCTCCCCAGCACGTACACACACTTCAGACACCAGCTGCAAGTCCAGGCTCTTACCTGTGCTGCTGAACAACCAGCTATAGATTGGAGATCCCATTAACGCCCTCCTTGGGTTCCATTATGTTGCTAGCATGGCTCACACAACTCAAGAAAAATTGTTCACTCACTAGATTACTGATTTATTATAAAGGATATCGGACTTCTGGCCAAGGTGGAGGTGGAGGTAGATATACTTTGCCTCCTTGCACAACCAAAAGAAGGACAATAACAAATCTAAGAACAAAAAATAGCTAGAACTGCCAGAAAATCTAACTGTATGGGAGTCTGACAACCAAGGAGTAAAGAAGAAATATTCATCCAGACCAGAAGGAAGGATGGAGACCAGCAGGAAGGGTGGAGACCAGCATTTGGGGCAGAGAGAACACGTGACAAGGCAGCAGCTGGCACACTGAGTGTTTCCACATTTGCCTGCAGATAAACCAAGAGGAACAACTGGGGAGTCAGACAGTCTGCACAACCCAGGGTTCCAGCACTTGGAAATAAAGCCTCGAACCCTCTGACTGAAAAAACCTGTGGGGGTTGTGGCAGCAGGAGAAACTCCTAGCCTCACAGGAGAGTTCATTGGAGAGACCCACAGGGTCCTAGAACATACACAAACCCACCTATGTGGGAATCAGTACCAGACGGCCCAATTTGCTTGTGGGTAGTGGGGGAAGTGACTGAAAACTGGCAGAGACTCAAGCAAGCAGCATTGTTCCCTCTCTGACCCCTCCCCTACTTAGAGCGTCACAACACAGTGCCATGGGTTGCCCCACCATGGCGAATACCTAAGGCTTGACCCCTTACAACATAACAGCTGTGTTCAGACAAAAACATATGGCCCTAATAAAAGAACAAATCAAAGTTCCAAAAATAGAACTAAGTGATGAAAATATAGCTAAACTATCATATGTAGAGTTCAAAACACTGGTTAATCAGGATGCTCACAGAAATGGTTGAGTATGGTTACAAAATAGAGGAAAAAGTAAAGGCTATGCAAAGTGAAATAAAGAAAAATATATAGGGAACCTACAGCGAAGGGAAGGAAACTGGGACTCAAATAAATGATTTGGAGCAGAAGGAAGAAATAAACATTCAACCAGAACACAATGAAGAAACAAGAATTCATAAAAATGAGGAGAGGCTTAGGAACCTCTGGAACAACTTTAAACATTCTAACATCCGAATCATAGGGGTGACAGAAGGAGAAGAGGAAGAACAAGAAAACTTACTTGAAAAAATAATGAAGGAGAACTTCCCCAATCTGGTAAAAGAAATAGACATGCAAGTCCAGGAAGCTCAGAGAGTCCCAAACAAGTTGGACCCAAGGAAGCACACACTAAAGCACATCATAATTACATTACCCAAGATTTAAGATAAGGATAGAATCTTAAAAACAGCAAGAGAAAAGAAGACAGTTACCTACAAAGGAGTTCCCATAAGACTATTAGCTGATTTCTCAAAAGAAACCTTGCAGGCAAGAAGGGGCTGGAAAGAAGTATTCAAAGTCATGAAAGGCAAGGACCTATATCCAAGATTACTCTATCCAGCAAAGCTATCATTTAGAATGGAAGGGCAGATAAAGTGCTTCCCAGATAAGGTCAAGTTAAAGGAGTTCATCATCACCCAGCTCTTATTACATGAAATGTTAAAGGGACTTATCTAAGAAAAAGAAGATCAAAACTATGAGCAGTAAAATGACAACAAACTCACAGCTATTAACAACCCAACCTAAAACAACAACAACAACAACTAGAACAGGAAGAGAATCACAGAAATGGAGATCACACGGAGGGTTATCAGTGGGGGAGTGGGAGGAGGAGATGGTGGAGGGGGAGGGGTACAGAGAATAAATAGCATAAATGGTAGGTAGAAAATAGACAGGGGGAGGTTAAGAATAGTACGGGAAATGGAGAAGCCAAAGAACTTATATGTACAACCCATGGACATGAACTAAGCAGGGGGAATGCTGGTGGGAGGGGTGGTCCAGGACAGAGGGGATTAAAGGTGAGGAAAAAATGGGACAACAATAATAGCTTAATCTATAAAAAATATATTTTTAAAAAAGTAAAGGATACTAAAGGATTTGAATCAACAGCCAGATGCAGAGATACATAGGGCAAGGTCAAGAACAAAGGAGCAAAAGAGCTTCTGTGGAGCTTGGGGCCTGGTGGCACATGAAAGCATTCTGGTTCCCCAACATGGAAGCTCTCAAAAAAAAAAAAAGGACCAACTGCTATCCTTTTAGATTTTGGGAAGGCTTCATTATGTAGTCATGATTGAATAAGTCATTGGCCATTGACAAGTGAACTCAATATCCAGCCTCTCTCCCTGAGGTCAGGAAGGGATGGGGGACTGGAGGTTCCAAACCTCTAATCACATGGTTGGGTTTTCTGGCAACCACATCCCACCTTTGATGGGGGCCCAAAAGATACCTTTATTGTTCTCAACACTTAAGAAATTCCAAGGGTTTTGGGAGTTGTGAGCCAGGAACTGTGAATGAAGACCAAATATCTTATAAATCACTATATGGCATACTACTTCTTCAGTTTTTTTGCCCACCCCTCTCCCTGACCCCTGACCCAGACTCCTGCCCTTGCCATTTGTGCCACATTTCACACCCAGCTAGCTGATGGCTAATTACCACTGAACAGAAACACCTTAGAGTTTTGGAGAGTCTGTATTACCATGGCTAAATAAATTACTGGACAGTCCTGCAATGGATGCAATGGAATAGCATAGAGCCCTTAAAAACATTTTTTTCAAGTAATATTTAAGATCAAGGCTAAATTTAGATGAGAGAATGTTAAAGGAGCAGAACATACTACTAAATATATTGCATAATTGCAACTCAAATAAACACAAATAGGTGCATAATTCTGTAAGGTTTGAATGGAAATGCCCCCAAATGCTAACAGGCTGTTGCTGGGTATAGCCCAGGGTGTGGATGTCCTGTCCATGCCCCATTAGGATTATAATTGTAAAATATTCTGGCCAGAGTTTCAAATGCCAGCACTTGCATCTTTTTGCCTGAGGGCTTTCTCAGGCCCAGAACAGACACAAACTGCACAGTGAGCAGGTCAGAAGGGCAAGAAAATTAATGCCTGCCTTCTCACACCAGCACACAACCAATGACTAACAGAAATTGATATGTAAATACCCAGCTTCCTGGCCCTTAGTTGGAATGACTTTGAGGTGCAGGTTCTACACTGGCTGGCAGAGTTCAGCAAGTTTAAACTCTGGTGACCCTTGGTGGTGACTTGCTTGGTAACACCATTGTTAGTTCCTTCCCTTCTCCACCCTTAGTTCCCTACGCTCCACTAGATTCCTAGGATTGATTTCCATATAAACTATCTTTCTTCAGATCCTTGTCTCCAAGTTTTTGGGGGAATCCAAGCTCAGACACTGGGTCTCTCATGATTTCTTTCCTTTTTAATTTCTCCTGTCCTTTCTACATTTTCTGCATAAACCACATAGTACTTATTAGTTCTTGAAATGTTATTTCCTCTTTTGAGATACACTCACTGTTTGTAAGGCTCTTGGCTGGGAGACTTCTACTCAAGTTAGGACCCCACCCCTTACAAGGGACATCTATGGCCACCTGGATAGAAAGGACCCTCTAAAAGTAGGGTCCTTTGAAGAGTGGGTGAGAGAGCTGTGGGGATATATCTCAGATCAGTGGTTGGTAAGGAAGTGGGTGCTGTCTCAGATGATCTGTCTGGGGACAAAGGAACTAGCCTGTCCTTGGGGTAATAGGATGGGACAACACTGGCATGTGATGTGACCTCAGAGCTCACCCTATTGAATCACTACCTCACTGTCTAAGCCACTAAACTACTCCATGGCAGTACTGGAGGGACCACCGGGGTGTATAGGGAAGAGGGTGGTAGTAGAGGGTTGGGGTTCTGGCTGGGTGCTGAGGGGTTTACTCATTTCTATGTTTCCAAGGGCTAGAACAGTGTCCAGAAGACAAGATCATTAAGTTTTTTTGTTTTTGTTTTTGTTTTTTTCAAATGATCTGAATAGAGCAGGTTATAAGAGAGCCAGGCTTAGATTTAGACAGTTGTGCAGCAGGACAAGCCTGGGCTTGGGACACTCCCTGATAGCAACTTAATGGCTTTCAAGTTTCCTTATCTGTAAAATGAAGAGGAAATATGCCAGGGTTGCAAATGTATGAATGCATCTGGCCCTTGGGTGGCCCTGGATCTCAGTCTACTGCGACATTCCTAGAAGATCTTGGACAATTCCCTTTCACACTCCGAGCTGCACCTTCCCCACCTGTGAAGCAGGGGAGGGGAGCTCCCTTTCAGTGAACATCTGCAACATGTACCAGTCACTTTCACATGTGCACTTCACCAAATCCTGCAACAATTCCGTAAGACAGGTATTACTGTTGCCATTTTAACGATCAAAAGAGAGATTTGGACATAATTTGCTGAATTCACATAGCTACTAAGTGACAGAGGCAAGGTCTGGACGGGGCTCTAGTCATTCCCAAAGCTCCACGTTGTCTCTACACCTCAAAGCGAAGTAAGTGCCATCGTACATCAGCACCCATCCCAGTGCTCAGTACAGAGTGGGTCTTAAACAAAAGCTCCATTGTCGTACCGTAGGTGCATGGCATCTCTCTTTGAGTGCACTGTGAGCTCCTGAGGGGCCGGGAATAATTGATTCTGTGTCCCCAGTGTCTAGTATAGAACCTGGCACAAGGCCAAGGCAATATAATAAATGAATGAAAATATGGATGAACCGAAAATAAATTAATGTATTTCTCTGGGTTACAGATAGCAGCTGAATGTGCAGGCTCTGAAAACCTGGTCATCTAAAAGTCCTTTAGAATTATGGTTTGAGCTATTTAGAAAAAGAAATAATATCTATAATTGTCAGGGGCATACGCCAGACTGATTTCACCTCTTTATCTCATTTGGTCCTTGCCCTAGTTGGGAGTCAAGGCAATGACTTATCATCCTCCTCATTTGATAGATAAAAAGACAAAGGCTCAGAGAAGTTTTAGTGGCAAGCTGTCTTCTCCCATTCAGAGGGGATGCAGCCTCTGGAAAGTACCTCCAGGGACAGGAAAATTATTGTCTACTGAGATGGCCTGCTCCATTTTTGCTGATTCTCTTTTCTCAGAGTAGGTTCCAGGGTCAAGTGCTACTTTCTGGGTGAAGCCTTTGGAGATGGAGAGAGACTGCAGCCAATTGCCCTCTCATCCCTACACTGAGGTTCCAGGAATGTCAGCAATGGCCTAACCACCCCCTTCCCTGAACAAGTGAGGAAACTGAGGACTTGTGGGTAGATATTCACCCAAATCACTCGATTAATACAGCCTGAGCTGGCTTCTGCTGTGGCATTATGCCATAGTCTCATGATGAACTTGGAAGTAGCTCTGATCTCTTGGTCTTCTGTCTGAGCTCAGGAGTGTAGTACCTCCCCAGCACTCACCATAGGGCCTCGAAAAGCTTAAGTGCTCAGTAAGAGGCGACTGAATATCAGGGGGAAAGAGCTGAGGCTGGGCTGAGGATGGGGTTGAGGTGGAATGTAGTATTAGGTGAGAATTAAAGCTTGAAGCAGAGGTTTGCATGTAGGTCTATAGAATGTTTGCAGTCAGGGTGGGGAAGGAGAGCTGAGGTGGGACTGCAAGCATTACTGAGGGGGAGGTTGGGCTGGTGATAGAGTAAGGGCTGGGATCCTACTGGGGTAAGTCAGGAGTGAGGTTGATGTTGATATTAGGAAGGGGATCTTGGTGGGCACTTGGATGAGGGTGGAGTCTGGGTTTCCTGTGAACACTGGAACATGGGAGTTAGCTGTCAGGCAGAGTGTTGGTGTGTATTTGGGGGCTGGGTTGAGGGTGCTGGAAGATGAGGCTGGGAGTGGGGATGGAGTGAAGGTTTTTCAGGATGGAGTTGGGGTGGGAGGTTCAGGACTGCATCTGAACAGTAGTTGGCAGCAGGACCAGGGCGCGAGAGTGGAGCTGAGAAGGGCTTGCAGAGGGAGTTGGGTTGGTGATGGGGTGGGAGCAAATGTCAGTGTTGGGCCCCAGTGGTTAAAAAGTGGGTAGGGTGGGCACTTGGATGAGAACTGAGGGTTAAGCTCGCGGCCTGGCTGAGGTGGGGCAAGAGGGTTAAGACTGGACTGGGGTTCTAGGTGGGATAAGGGGCCAGGGCCGGTACCTGAGCCACCACATGTAGCTGTGCTCGTAGGGGAAGAAGCTGTGCGGGTCGTCGCAGCAGTACTTGTGGTCGCGGAAGCCGCAGCAGAAGACCTCGGCCGCCTCGCCCCCCGGGCGCGGGCAGCTGAAGCCACGCACCACCTCCTGCTCAGCGCTCACGTAGCTCGTGCAGGCGCCGCTCATTGTGCCTGGTGCGGGGGGCCCGCCGCCACCTCCGGCCACCGGCCGGCGGGAGGTAGGAGGACACGGGCGGAGACGGAACTGAGCTCTGGGAAGACAGAGACAGAGATAGGCAGAGATGAACAGAGAGACATATAGAGACGAGAGAGAGAGCGGGGGGGGGGGAGGGAGAGAGAGACACACACACACACACACACACACACACACACACACACGCAGCGGTTAGAAACCTAGAGTCCCCGAGGGCCAAGAGAGTTGAACAAGTACGCGGACCGGAGCAGACGAAGGAGGCGGAGGAGGGAGAGGAGAAGGAGGAGGATGGAGGAGTGGTGGGAGTGGACAGCGGGGGGGGGGGGCGGGGAGGAGGAGGGAGCGGGCGTCCAAGCGCGGGCGCAGGGGGTTGGGGGCCACTCCGTGGAGCTGTGAGCGGGGAGCTGCCCCGAGAGCTGTCGGGGGCGGGACCGTCCCTGTAGGCACTGCCCTCACCGGCCCTACTGCATTCTCAGGGTTTGCACAGAGAGTGCTGGATGCTCAGAGGGACAACGCATGTCCAGGGTGGCAGGGCGGGAAGAGAAGCGTGGATTCCACGTCTTGTTTGAGCACCGCCTGGTGCGAGTAACTGTGCTGGACCCTGGGAATCTCAGGTCAGTGTCAGGCGAGTGCAGGACGCCAGCAGGCGACCATACTAGCCAGCAGGGCCAGCATGGGATGATTAACCTTACCAACAACCCAGAGGAGGAGGGGTTTTCAAAAGCATTTTATAAATGAGTGCTAAGGGTCAGAGAGAAGTCGTTTTCCCCTGGCCCTCAGGCCCATGGGATTTTAACCAGGGTTTGCCTCGTTTTCAAGGCCTTGCTCTCACAGTGCATCTTCACCAGTGAACTTTTATATTTAAATTACATTTTATTGATTATGCTATTACAGTTGTCCTGATTTTTCCCCTTTGACCCCTCTATCCAGCACCCCCCCCCCCTCAGGCAATCCCCACACCATTGTTCATGTCCACGGGTCATGCATCTAAGTTCTTTGGCTACTCCTTTCCTATACTGTACTTGCATCCCCATGGTTATTCTGTACCTACTTATTTGTATTTCTTAATCCCCTCATCTCTTCATGCATTCCCCCACACTCCCTTCCCATCTTCTTACCATCAAAATGCTCTCTGTATCCATGATTCTGTCTCTATTCTTGTTTGCTTAGTTTGTTTTTTAGATTCAATTGTTGATAGATTTGTAATTTTTGCCATTTTATTGTTTATAGTTTTGATCTTCTTTTTATTAAATAAGTCTCTTTAACATTTAACCATAATAATGGTTTGGTGAAGATGAATTCCTTTTAGTTTTTTCTTGTCTGGGAAGCTCTTTATCTGTCCTTTGATTCTAAATGATAGCTTTGCTGGGTAGAACAATCTTGGCTGTAGGTCCCTACTTTTCATCACTTTGAATATTTCTTGCCAGTCCTTCTAGCCTGCAAAGTTTTTTTTTTGTTTGTTTGTTTGTCTTTTGAGAAATCAGCTGACAGTCTTATGGGAACTCCCCACTAGGTAACTAACTTCTTTTCTCTTGCTGCTTTTAAGATTCTTTATTTATATTTAACCTTCGTCATTTTAATTATGACGTGTCTTCAAGTGGGCCTCTTTGCATCCTCTTGTTTGGGACTTTCTATGCTTCCTGGACTTGCATGTCTAGTTCCTTCACCAAATTAGGGAAGTTTCCTTTAATTTTTTCAAGTAGATTTCCAATTTCTTGCTCTTTCTCTTCTCCCTCTGGCACCCCTATGACGCAAATATTGGACCTCTTGAAGTTGTCCCAGATACTGCTTATACGATCCTCATTTTTTTTGGACTCTCTTTTCTTCATTTTGTTCTGACTGGTTGTTTCTTTCTTCCTTATGTTACAAATTATTGATTTGATTCTCGACTTCATCAACTCTACTGTTGTTTCCCTGTAAATTGTTCTTTATTTCAATTAGTGTATTCTTTGTTTCTGACTGGATCTTTTTTATGCTGTTGAGGTCCTCAATGAGTTCCTTGAACATCCTTATAACCAGTGTTTTGAACTCTGCTTCTGATAGATTGCTTATCTCCATTTCATTTAGTTCTTTTTCTGGAGTTTTGATCTGTTCTTTCATTTGGGCAGTGATTTGTTGTCTTCTCATTTTGGCAGCCTCTCTGTGTTTGTTTCTGTGTATTAATTAGATAGAGATGCTTTGACTCTCTGTCTTGATAGTGTGGCTTAATGTAGTAGGTGTCCTGTAGGGCCAGTGACACAGCCTTCTCTACCTATCTCCCAAACTGAATAGTTGACGTGTGCCCTTTGTGTGGGCCCCATTATACCCTCCTCTTGTAGTTGAGCCTTGGTTGCTATTGGCAGGTCAATGGGAGGGATTTATCCAGGCCAATCAGCTAGCTGCAAGGATTGGTTGTAACCACTGACCACCAACCTCCACCCTCTGTGGAGGATCAGCTGTGCAGGGGCAGGGTGGTGATGCTCCTATGTGGTCTGTAGCTGTCCACTGGGTGTGCTGGCCCTGGAGTTTCCCAGATGGTGCAGGCTGGGTAGTGTACTCTAATGAAGGTGCATTTTGGCCTCTGTATTTATCAGATAGAGAGTAAAGAGGAGTGGTAGAATCTTGTGGAAAGGAGAGAGTGCTCCTGGGGACATGGGATTCAACTGGGAAGTAGATAGCACTCTACTGTGGCTTTTTAGTAAAATTGGGAAGCTGCCAACAGTTTCTGAAGTCCTTTACCAGCCAAGAATTAATCTGTTCCTCCCAACAAGCCTGTGGGTGAGCCAAGCTAGGATGATTATGTCCCTGAGAGACCTACAAAGCTCAATGTCACACAGGAATCTATGGTCCAGGCAGGACTGGTACCCATGTCCGTCTAGCCAAGGATCCTCTTTGACAGTCTGATGAAGACTACGGACCACTATTCAGAAGAATACTTTTTTAACTACAAAGAGTAAATTACTTTGGAATACAAGGGGTATCAATTATATACAATCAAATAAAAATATTTCTTTTGTGATTTAGTTCTTTTTAAACACCTTAAATAACAAGATCTAGAATAGGTTCACTGGTCTGATAACCTGTTGTAATTTCGAGGTGGTGAATGAGTATTTCAAGACATCACTATTGTAATGCAATGTGGAAATATCTATGATTTCTACTGGTGCCAAAATCACTACTGTGATTTGTTGCTTATATGCATGATAGAAGGAAATGCTAAATTTCAGTCAGATGTTAGTGAAAATCCAAGTTCATGCTTCCCCTCCTCTCACTGTGATCTCTATCCATGCACCCCTTTGGGCTCTGTGGAATCTATGCTAAAATCATCTACCTCTTCTGGTCTAGCTACTATTCCAATGCTTCATCACATGCATCACACTTCTCCCTGCAGACACTTATTGCAGACCTATTATGTGCCACACAGTTTCCCATCTTGTATGTCATATAGTCCTTGAAAACTTCCTTTTGGGTAGGTGTTATTCTTACCATTTTGCAGACAAGGTAACTGAGACTGGTGGAGGTTAAGTGATGTTTACTCAAAGTCGCACAGCCAGTAGCTGAAATCAGAGTCCTGTACCACCCACTCCTACCTCCCCAGCTGAGGTTGGGCGCCAGAGTCTCTAACACCAGAAGGAAAGAAAAGTATAAGAGAAGGATAAGCAAGGAGAATTCATACTCATGGAGGACACATTGCGAAGTAGAGATTTGTGCTGTGCTTTTCATTATCTCTTTTAGTCCTCACAACCCTATGCAATGTAACTCTCTCTATTAAAAAATAAGTAAATAATACACATTCATTATAAAACAACAAATCAGAGAATACAGATAAACCAAAGAAAAAAATTTAAAAATCACCCATAATCTCTCCACACAGAAATATCTTACTAGTTTGATATGGAGTCTCCAAGATGCGCGCGCGCGCACACACACACACACACACACACACACACACACACACACAATTTCATACCTGCTTTACTGATAGGAAAGCTGGACCCAAAGAGGTGAAGTAACTAGCCCAAGGATGTGCCAGTCATAAGTTCCAGTCACCTGTGGTTTGACCTTAGGCAGGTCACTTTCCCTCTCTGCATCAGGGCAGTAGGAAGAGCCAAAGCCTGGCACTTGGAAAGCCAAAACTGAAACCCACTGAGCAGCCCTCAGAACAGTGCCTTCTACGCTAAGGTAGCCTGTCTTCTCAGGGAGGGTCGGGAAAGAAACAGCCACTCCCTGTGACTTTTGCTTATCTACATCCTTTCCACCCTTCAAGACCCAGCTTAAAGGAACCCTTCCAGCAGGAAGCCTTTCTGTGACGAATTATTCTTTCTTGGGCATTCTCTCAGGGCATTATTCTTTCTTGACGCATCTGCTGTCTTGATGGTACCTGTACCATTCACTGAGCACCTTCCGCATGCCATCATCTCACAGATACCACAGGACTCACCCTGTAGGTCAGAGGCTGTACCTGCTTCATCCTGGTTTCATGGCCCCGAGGCAAGGGCCTGGTTCTCAAGACAGGGCTGCTGCTTTGTGCTGCTTTGTTCCTTTGTGCAAAGTAGAAAAAAAGTGCCCCTTCCTCTGACCTGGTGTAGCTTTATGCAGAAGACAAGGCCTGTCTCCTGCTCTGGTCTTAACATGAGTCCATCACTTACATGTTATTAACCATTTTTCATGTTCACATTTCTTTTTCAGCCTGATATCATCCACTTATGGAATTTATTCCAAGGCTTCTGCACCCTGGAGTGAATGGCCCTCTCCTAGTATCAGTGTCGCAACCCTAAACCTCCCCTTTCCCTGCCAGAGTGTTACTGAAGTGCACGAAGCAGAGGATAGAGGGAAAGGCAAGGACTTGGTACCAGATTAGCCTAGATTCTAATTTCTACTTGGCAACTGATTGCTGGGACACTGTACTTCTCATTTAGCCTGATCTATAAAATAGAAGTTACAGTACTTATCTCATAAGGATGAGATATATGTATGTGAGCACTCAGTAAAGGTTACTCCTCTTCTTCCTTACACTTTGCTGAGAGCAAGGATTGTGTCTCATGCTAGGTTTACACATAAGAAAAGTGCAGCCTTTGTCTACAGAAGACTCTTTTTTAAAAAAAATTGAATTTGCTGGGGTGACATTGGTTAATAAAATTATTTAGGTTTCAAGTGCCCAGTTCTATAATACAAAATCTATATGTTGTATTGTGTATTCAT